AAAAGCCATGCTTCATTTGGTCACAAAGGACTACGATCTATCTTTTGAACCACTGGACCAATTTGTATGATTTTGACGTATGTTTGTATTTGGAGTATGCTGATGTGAATGTGATGCATACTTTTAAAATTATGAATAATGTGGAAAAACTGTATTTCTCTGCCTGTGATAATTACATTACCTATTGTGTAAGGTAATTGTATCACAGGCAGAGGGGAGGATTTTGTGTGGGAGTGTCTGAGTGTATTGTACGTGTTTATTGGTTGTTTTCCAAAATCCTGTGGGTGGTACTAATGTGTAAGAATGTGTATATAAGAACAATAAACCCACAGCTCTGTCTGTTCCTGCTTGACCCTCAAAACGGAGCCTTGTCTTGTTCTTGTGGGGATTTATTGTATGCTGTTCCAGTTCGACTGCTAGGAGTGTAAACCTATTTGTATGTTTTTTTCCTATTCGGCTGTTTACAGTATCCGGTTCGGTGGATTGGTGTCTACAGTAGCTGCCTGTGTCTCTGGAAGGGGAAGATCTTCTAAATGGCGGTTTAACCCTTTTATGCCTGGGGGTACCGTTAGAGTATGTGTCTCTATATCTGTGTATGTCTGTATGTATGTTTGCATGTGTGTCTGTATATGTGTGTATGTGTCTATGTGTATGTATGTGTGTTTGTGTGTGTGTGTCTGTATGTGTATCTGTTTGTCTGCATGTTTGTGTGGGGGGGGAGAAGTAGACGTATGGGGGAGAGGAGACGTAGACATATGGTGGAGGTGGAAAGAAGACCTATGGGGGGGCCACAGCGCAATTTTTGCAGCGGGGCCCCGTGATTTGTAGTTATGCCTCTGCTTAACACTGAACAGAAGGCCAGTGCCAGGGGACTCCAGACTCTATAACCACTTCCACGAGATGAGGCCATCATGGTGCCTACTGGGTCCTTTTAATAATCTGAATTGACTTATAGCATTTCATATGAATTAAAAAAACAATGTTCTACAGATTTCCTCACTCTACAGATCTCTTCATTCTACTGCAGCTATGACAAAATTGTCATCAAGGGATGGATTGTTGGATAGTTCTGTGGATACATTACCTTGTGGTTGAGCAATGCCTTTCGCTCAGTATTTCACCTGTTAGTCTTAGCTATACGTGCTGCTGTGCACATTAGACTCCGTGTCCATTCCCCGATCTATCAGCACAGCACTGTTTTCCATCTGGTTTGGGTCAATCCAGGGTTCTCTGCCATCTGTTTACGGCTTAGACATTCATGCTGCTTTCTGTCATCACAAGGATCTCGTCAATTCCAGTATGGTTTCCGCAAGATTAGACCAACAGCTTTTGCACACCATTGGGTTTAGCTCTAACAAACATTACATTTAGACTTGGACCTATTTGCACCACTGTCATCAGTCTATGCAGAGGAACATCTGACATCCACGTTCACCAGTGTTTCAGACACACAGTCTGTGTCAGGGATGATTTCGTATAAGTGTGCACTATTGTTTGTATCATGGATCCAGTCAAGGAAATCTTATTAATGAAAGGTTAACAGGACACCATAGGCACCAAAACAACTTTAACTTAATATGGTATAGATAATGACCCTGCAGTGTAACTGTTCAATCCTCTATCATTTAAGAGTTAAATCACTTTTGTTTCTGTTTATGCAGCCCTAGCCACACTTACCCTGGCTATGACTGACATACAGCCTGCGTTTAAAAAAAAAAAAGGTTTAATTTGCAATCAGACGTTAGCTTACTTTAGAAGTGTTTGTTTCCTGCTCTATAAATAGAACATTAATCACGCACAGGAGGTTCCTGAGGGACTTAGCAGGCAATTAACAGAGCAAGAGATGCATTCTAAATTAAACAGAATATGCAATAAACTAAGTTAAAACATTAGACCTCTCTTTTAAAAAAAAGTCTTTAGGAAAGCTGTGCAAATCACATGCAGGGAGGTGTGACTAGGGCTGTATAAACAAGGTGATTTAACTCCTAAATGGCAAAGAATTGAGCAGTGAGGCTGCAGGGGCATGTTCTATACACCAAAACTGCTTCATTAAGCTAAAATAGTTTTGGTGCATATATTATCCCTTTATTCGCGCTAGAAAAAAAATGTACTCAAAAGTGAAGGACAATGAGTTAAAACAGACTTTCCACATTTTTTTTTTGTAGGTAAAGAACACACAAAGATGATATTAGATAAGACATTTAAAAAAAATTCTGGAAAAAAATGGCTTAAACGAGTTTTTATTCACCTTAAAGTCATTGATGGAAAGAAAGTTTTTCTGTCAAATTTCAAAACATTACTTGTCTGGGGTATCATGTGAGTACTGTGTATCTGCTGTGGTCTCATATATGAATGATAATGCGTAATGGGTCATTAAAGCGCCTTTAACACAGCTGACCTCATGGTACACTCCCATGCATGCGCATTTAATTTTAATTTGATTAATCCTAGTACTGTTTGAAAATTTTAGAAGAAAACAGAAATTCATCTTTTTTATCAGAAATTTTTTTGATTAAAGAAATTAAAAATTAATGATTAATTTATGGCATAAATGGGAAGTGTGCAAGCAGGAAAGCTTTTGCAAAGCCCTAAACAATGTATAAAGATAGGCTCCATTTCAACCATCATGACTACTTCTGCTTTTATAACTGGTCATGGTGGTAGCCATATGTGCAGTGCTTCAGCTTTAAACATTGCATGTACAGAGAAAAAATCACTTTTGTACTGGGGGCCTAGTTACATCCCCCAGCTTCTGTCCACCCCTGTTAAGAACAGGGGTGGACAGAATACCCGTTCAGATACCCGTTCACTTTTGGTTCCTCCCGAGTGATTATAGTTTGCAGTTCGGGTGTTGATTCGAACGTTCTCCAAAAGAAAATGCAGTATCCCAGAAAATTCGCCAAACAATTAGACATATACTCAAACATCAGCCTAAACTAGATGAAGGGTACAACAGGAATAAATTTATTCAGGCCAACAGGCCGGTTTATATGCAAGCTCACCTGCGAGCGGTTTACCGTGACATATTCCAGGGGCATTCCCCACTGGACCTGACAGGGGACTGTGACAAAGTACACACTGTAATTACATTGGCTCTCAGGTCCAGGACACTTCCACAAAAAACAGGATAATCTCTCCCTTGTGCCTGTGAGATAATTGAGTCAGGAACTGTACTAAACTCAATTATCTCCAAGCACTGAAAACATACATTTTAACAACACCTCGAAAGTGCACCTAAAACACATGGAAACCCCACAAAAGTCATATCCCCTGATAACCCTGATCTTGGGGACCAACATATCCAGTCGGTCTCTCTTTCAGGAGTACAAAAGTACATAAATAACCTGAACTGAGCATTTTAAAAGTATATTAGCCAAAGTCTACTGCAGGGCCCATAGTCCTGAGGCAAGAGGCTGGCCAGCAGGCCCCTCCAAGAACCCGTGGCGAGCTTCAGTTCGTCACAACCCCCTTTAACCACCCCCTCATATTCCCTTACCGGCTCATAGCGTGCGCATGCGCTCTAAGTTTGGTGGAGCTCCCCACCTCCAATAACTCAATCAGAGGGCTGGACCTTCCTGCTTAGGAACTTCTGTTAGCTCTCCTGAGCTAAGCCGTGCATTGCAGAACTAGTTAATTGGCTGAGAGCTCCAGCTGACCGCTTTCAATGGGTGGGTGGTTTACTTTTTAAAATAGAAAACCTTGATGATAGTACTTATTCCTTTTTGCCAGTGTTTCCTTTCTATTGGACCAAAATAGTACCTGGAAGTTTGGCATGGTACTTGGTTAATTTCTTTCGACCCGCAGATGAAAGAATGTTTAATAAGTCACCAATTTCTTTTTATATAGCTATTATTTTCCATCACAAATAAATCAAGAATTCTGCTATTCTAAGTTAGGGTTGTGCTCTGAGTTATAAAGGTTGGTTAAATCAAAGAATTTGGGTAATGTCAGGAACTAATTTATCATCTATGGTTATTTTCCCCTAGACATTTTTCTTTAAGTATTGTGATAAATGCACAATTGTGTTTTATATTAAAAGTTCCTACATATCCGAGCTTGAAGTACTTGTATCCTGTCCCCTTATAAGCCATGTTGTGCTTTGCTTCCTTGTGCCATGTTGGCTCTCTTCCAGTTCTCCCAAATGGCGGATATAAATGGTTTTCACATCCTGGTTTTTGTCCTGTTCAAGGGCCTTATTGCTAGTCTCGAGGACCCTAGCTCTGTTTTGTTCCTGTCGTGACCTTGTCTGCCCTGCCACTCCTTATGGTGATACCCTAATACTGAAAATAAGATTTGTATTTACTCAGGCCCTTTAACCCCTACATCGACATGTCTGGCTTTTGGCTTGCCTTGACCATTTACACTTCTGTGCTGGCAAGCTTCTTTCTGCCCCAAGGATATTGCCCCCGGTAATATATTTATTGACTGTCTTCATTTAGACGGTAAACACTTAAATGTAATTTCACAGTTTTTACTAGTCACAATCAGTACCACACCTGGCGTCTGTGGATCCCAGGCAAAAAAAAAAATATTGTGGATGTCTTTCACCTACCACCCTTCATCCTGGATTCCAATCCATAACCCATTCCTTGGTTTATGGTTGTCCAGTGGTGGCAGTGTGAAGTTTGTGTACTTCTCTGGTGCTCATCACTCTCTCACGGTTGCCATGAGATTCTTAACCAGGATAAGGTCTCATACAAAGCAGAGGTAAACACACCTTACACTGCAGCCACTGGACCACCAATGAAACAAATACATTCTGTCTATATTTTACCCTTAAATTTGCTTTACATTCAACTTGCATTCCCAGCAATTCTGACTTTAGTGAATAAACCTTCAACACTAGTATTTGAAAAACAATGTTAAAGGGACACTACTCATATACCAGATGGCACTGGACTTCTGCTCTGTCAGCCAGTCTCGGGGCAAAAGGACATTTATAAAATTCATGATCACTTTTTGGTTATATGATACTTTACCAGGATGGTTCGACCTTTTTTGTTGGCTGTCCTACCCCTTTTCATGGCCAGGACCTCTCACTTCCCTCTTCTGGAGAAGTAAGGGGATCTTCAAGTGGACAGCCTGGGAGGCAATTCAGAGCAATCCATATTTGATCCCAAAATCTGACAAATTAAGTCATATTTTACAAGTAAGTAGGGGATTTATTCACTAAACAGTTAGCAGTGATGAACTGTCCAACTCGGATGATTTAGCCCACACTCGCTTATTATTTAATATGCTTTTATAAAAGTTTTCCATAGAGTATAAAAAAAAGAAACGAGACTTCAACACTAATTCAATAAATAAAATTATACATTAAACATTATATATAATTGTATATAGATATACAATATATCTAATAATTTATGCAGTGTTTATACTTTTATCTAAAAAAAAAACAATCAAAAAATGTATTTCCTATTAAACATTCTCTTTTTAGACTCTTTTAGTCCGTCTACCAATCTATCTTTCTGTCTACCTATCTATGCCTACCCACCTATATGTCTGTTTGTCTAGCTATGTGTTTGTTTGCCTGCATGTCTGTCTGTCTATCACGCAACTATCTATATTAAAATTTAACAATTAAGATCAACACAAAGAACTCGAATACACCGAGGGACAGCTGGCCCAACTAAATTAAATATTTTATTTTTGAAAAGGTAATTTTTCTGCCTTGCCCTCAAAAATTTACTGAGCAAAAATGTCCAAAAAATACAATCTTGCATCCCCGTCCTCTTATCAAGTAAAGTTACAATGAACATCTGTTGTTCAAGACGCATCAGTAAGATTATAAATAAATAAGGGATTCTTTGTATTAAGCCTTCTGGGTGTTTTTCATCTGTGTAATGCTGCACAGAGATATTAACGCTGTACGGAGATATGATACCCAGAGTGTGCCAGTCTGCCCGCCTCTCTTGTTACGCTCCATTTCCTCACATGTCTAAGACAGCCTCATACCCACCCTGAAGGGATCTGTAACCCAGAAATGAAAGAGCAATAATTCTCGACGAGAAAATGGGGGGCTTGAGATGTAGCAAGCGATAAGGTTACTAGTGAAACAATAAGTCGCAATATAGAAAAAGGGAAAGGGCTTATGGAGTTATGGAAAGGTTCACATAATGCAGCAATACACTTCACAGGGAGATTATATGAAATAATAAGATTATATCGAGAGGTTATATGGAGTAATAGGTGGAGTTATAGAGAGAGGTTATATGGAGTATTAGGAGGAGTTATAGAGAGAGGTTATATGGAGTAATAGGAGGAGTTATAGGGAGAGGTTATATGGAGTAATAGGAGGAGTTATAGAGAGAGGTTATATGGAGTAATAGGAGGAGTTATAGAGAGAAGTTATATGGAGTAATAGGAGGAGTTATAGGGAGAGGTTATATGGAGTAATAGGAGGAGTTATAGGGAGAGGTTATATGGAGTAATAGGAGGAGTTATAGGGAGAGGTTATATGGAGTAATAGGAGGAGTTATAGGGAGAGGTTATATGGAGTAATAGGAGGAGTTATAGGAGAGGTTATATGGAGTAATAGGAGGAGTTATAGAGAGAGGTTATATGGAGTAATAGGAGGAGTTATAGAGAGAGGTTATATGGAGTAATAGGAGGAGTTATAGTGAGAGGTTATATGGAGTAATAGGAGGAGTTATAGGGAGAGGTTATATGGTGTAATAGGAGGAGTTATAGAGAGAGGTTATATGGAGTAATAGGAGGAGTTATAGAGAGAGGTTATATGGAGTAATAGGAGGGGTTATAGAGAGCGGTTATATGGAGTAATAGGAGGAGTTATAGGGAGAGGTTATATGGAGTAATAGGAGGAGTTATAGGGAGAGAATATATGGAGTAATAGGAGTTATAGAGAGGTTATATGGAGTAGAGGATATATGGAGTAATAAGGAGGAGAGAGTGGAGTTATATGGAGTAATAGGAGGAGTTATATATAGAGGTTATATGGAGTAATAGGAGGAGTTATAGAGAGAGGTTATATGGAGTAATAGGAGGAGTTATAGAGAGAGGTTATATGGAGTAATAGGAGGAGTTATAGGGAGAGGTTATATGGAGTAATAGGAGGAGTTATAGGGAGAGATTATATGGAGTAATAGGAGGAGTTATAGGGAGAGGTTATGTGGAGTAATATGAGGAGTTATAGGGAGAGATTATATGGAGTAATAGGAGGAATTAAAGGGAGAGGTTATATGGAGTAATAGGAGGAGTTATAGGGAGAGGTTATATGGAGTAATAGGAGGAGTTATAGAGAGGGTTTATATGGAGTTATAGGAGGAGTTATAGGGAGAGGTTATATGGAGTAATAGGAGGAGTTATAGAGAGAGGTTATATGGAGTAATAGGAGGAGTTATAGGGAGAGGTTATATGGATTAATAGGAGCAGTTATAGGGAGAGGTTATATGGAGTTATAGGAGGAGTTATATAGAGAGGTTATATGGAGTTATAGGAGTTATATAGAGAGGTTATATGGAGTTATAGGAGGAGCTATATAGAGAGGTTATGTGCAGAAACACTGATGGAGTCACAGGGAAGATTCATGTAAGGGAGACAATGTGCAGAAGACACTGGAGACAATGTGCAGAATTTGTAATCTTCATAATTATTACAACTGACTTCTCCTCCAGCACTCAGATTAATAAGAGTAAGTGCCCTTTTAACTAATCAGTTATTCAGGGGTGTGAAACTCCTGTATTTCTGGGCATCAGTCTGACATTTTGGTTTTATAAAGACACTATACCACCAATACACACAAACACTGTATCCCTATGCACACACTACAACCCATATTCACACCTGCATGCTGATCCCCTATACACAAACATTACAGCCTCTATACACATATACACACTACAACTCCTAACAATGCAACCTATATACACCGACACACACACTACAGCCCCTACTGACACACACACACACACACATGCATACACACTCTCAGAGACACAGACAATCTCTACAAGCACAGTGACAGGCAATAGTCTGTCCTCCCCTCGTTTTTAAAACGGTACTAGTTCACCCCGTTACCTGTCACCCCATGTTACTAGCGACTAGGCAGCAAAAGCTACCCACTCTCTGCTCTTTTATTACCGTGAGCAGTTACTAACTTCTCTGTGTTTAGTAAACATACCCGTTACTTGCAGCATGGCGAGTGGGGGCATTTGGAAAGTTTTAAACCTCCCTTTTACTACTGCAGGGGTCATTTTGACCTCCACAGGCTTTGATTTAGTTATTTTTTAATGTTTCGAAGGGTTAGTCAAAAAGGACGATAAATGTGTTTCCGAAGTAGATTTATTAGAGGTCTTTTCATTTATTGGGTCTGGCTGCTAGAATTTCGGATGGCATTAAATCCAGTCAAAATTCAGTCAAAATATCAACCAAGTGCAATCCATAATTTTCAAGTGAGTTTTGCCGATAATATAGAATTGATGCCCAAGTTCTTGTTATTATTTTCAAAGTTTATTCAATGGAATATAAACTTGAAGATATATTTCGTAGCTCTCATTCAATTTGTAGACAGACAGACAGATCAACAGACAGACCGAGAGACAGATAGACAGACAGACCAGCAGAACGACAAATAGATAGACAGACCGACAGACAGACAAACAGACAGATAGACAGACCGACAGACAGACAGACAGATGCTGTGCGGCATAACTACAGATATTTCTGTGAAACAACACAGTCATTTTTTGCAGATAACTATCTATATACTTGCCTTTCTGCCTAGCTGTCTGTCTCCCTTTTCATCTAGCATTTCTGTAGGCTCTCTTTGCAACGACCTCCTGTTTTAAAACACAGATTTTTATGCCAATGCACAGGTGAAAATCGGAAAAAAGCAATGCCCAGCCGTGTACAGCTGCTCCTGCTGTATGGGGCTCATCAGCATGGTCTTGGCATTGGTTCAGTATAGAAAATCTCTGTGACAGCATCAAGCTAAGCGTTAATAAAGTTGCGATAATATCAAACAGTGTCAAAACCTCCCCACTGATTTTAGTAAATTCTCAAACATTCTTCCGTGCAGCATCTGCAAACTGAATGGAACATTTTTAAAAACCTGTCCGCAGATTGCATATCTCAAAGACGGTAATTTTAAAAACCATAAAAGTTCACACAACATAGGCAAGCGCATTGAGGCTTTCACTATTTTAGCTCTCCGCATTTCAAATTGCAAAGATTTGCTGTTTTAACAAACAAGGTTTTTTTTTCTTTGTAACAATGCATGGCACAGGATCTCAATAAAACACACACCCACACACGAGCTTTCAGACAGATATGACTATAACTAGACAGATAAAAAGAGAGACAATGCAAGGTGGCTACAGAAACGTTTCAGGAGCGAGAGACGGCGACTTCCACAAACAAATTAAAATATCAACAGTAACATATTATGGGATATGGCAACCTGGCTTCTTTGGGCACTATGTGGAATTAAATGAATGATTATACATGTCGTGACTACACTATCCAATAGGTCCTCTCTTCCACTCTGTCCTGTTGTCCAATTCGTAGCTTAGTGTGTTCTCTAGTGATGTCACTATCCTGTGCATGCCATCAGTATGACTCACTGCTGACTCCCGAATATCTTCACAACAGCACATGAACACCCTAAGCCTCCATGAAATGTTGGGGGTAACCACTGGGGGTGCTACATTTTTACATACAGTTTTCTCTGTCCATGTGCCTGATCTCTGGAGCACTGACATTTGACATTGTTACCCGACTAAGCATATTACTGACTGTCCCTGATTCAGAGAACATATGTGATCAAGGTTTTGTCACTGTCTTCAATGTTCAGCATGGATTGACCGTCCACTTTACTTTTTTTTCGTCCTTCTCTGGCTTCTAATTCATATTCACTCAATTCTCTGTATAATCTTTACTCAATAGTGGTGTCAACCTAAGGCTTTTTACTCCAAGTAATAATAATAGCCACCATTGCATCGAAAGTGCCATAGAAATCGTCATAGAAACCAGAGAGTGGTCTACTGCCTAAATATTGATGTTACCTTTAGGCATCCCTGTTTCTGGGTTCCAAAAACCTATGAGTTTTATACTAGATTTTAGTATGACTACAATAGAACAGAAGATGTTAGGAATTGAGAGGTAAAAGACATAAAATGCCCTCCTTACTTAGGGATCCTGAGATAGTTGCTACCTTGAGTAAAGAGCTAACCAAGTACTTCACTATGAATACT